CTCTCTCTCTCTCTCTCTCTCTTTCTTTCTTCCTTTCTTTCTAACTTTTGTAAGTGTTTCTGATAAGGTTGGCTTTCTAGAGTGAATGAACAAAGTATTATATTTAACCTGGGGTCAAAAAGAAGCGTTAGCACCAGGGTCTAGAATTAAGACTTTATGTAAACATGTTTTGCTGCTTTATGACTAATTTAGGTTGACCCTTTGGTGAGTACTGGTGATATCTTTCTCCTCAAAGTCATTTGGAAGTGTGTAGGAGTTGTGAACTGCTGAGACCAATCACATTTGGAGGACAGAGATACTAAAAGTTTTGCAGTAGGGCTGCATGTGGTGATAATCATGCCTTTAATCCTAGCACCTAGGAGGCAGAGGCAGAAGCAGGCAGAGCTCTGTGAGTTTGAAGCAAGCCTGATCTACATAGTGAGTTCCAGGACATACAAGGCTATATAGGGGGAACCTGTCTCAATACCACTACCATCACTACTTTTGTAGTGTAGTGTATCATCCCATACAACCAAGGATAAGTCTCAAAATGCTGTAGTCCTCTATTGAGAAAGACTAGCTTCATGCTAAATCTTCGAAGTCACACTACTCTAAGAAATTTGTCTAACTTAATTTTGTGTGAAACATAGTGTTCAGTTGTTGAATTAGGACATTGAGTTTGGCAATGATGCAATAAATGCTATTACAGGAAACTCAGCTGATGATATTCTGAGGCAGTGTGTAGGTGCCAAGCCATTCCCAAGGCCCATGGCTGTCAGGCAGAGGCTGTGTGGCCAGTGGCATGATGGCCTGAGAATGTCTTGGATGCCTCATTGTTGCCACAGCTCTCATGTTGGTTGTTTGTGGGCAGGAGTGTGATCAGCAGCCTGGGCAGAGGCCAGTTTCCACTGACTTCTTAGCTAGTGTTCCAAATAGAACAAGGTTTCTTCCTCGATCTACTTTATCTGTGGATATGGCAGTGTTTTGGGGAGTAATTTAATTCTTTCTTTGATGGGAAGACTTCAGTGATATAGCTAATTAAATTGAATATGATCATTGGCAATCCATAACTTTCCTTGAACTCATTTCCTCTCAGAAAAATGAAGATGATGATTCAGGCACTGCTGGTTGAGTTTACTAGCAACTTGTAGAATGAATAGCCTGATCTTTTACCCTTGATAGAGGTTAAGGAGACAGGCCCATTCTTCACGAGTGTTAACTAGAGGTCTCTGAAACAAAGTGGAATAATAGCAGTGAGCTTCATTTCAGGTGCTAAGTAAAGACTTTACAGTCTAATGGATGAGCTTGAATAGAAAACAGACTTTTTTTTTTTTTTTTTTTTTGTTTTTCGAGACAGGGTTTCTCTGTGTAGCCCTGGCTGTCCTGGAACTCACTCTGTAGACCAGGCTGGCCTCGAACTCAGAAATCCGCCTGCCTCTGCCTCCCAAGTGCTGGGATTAAAGGCGTGCGCCACCACTGCTCAGCAAAAACAGACTTTTCTAGGGATGGAGAAGACATGCATCATGCTTTTCTAGAGTCTCCAAAAGCTTTATCATCCAAGTATTTGAAAACAAGAGCTTAAAAAATAGAACTTGATGAGATTAGGCAAGTTTCATTGAAGATCTGTTTAGACTTTTTATTGTTAGATAAGATCAACCTGGACTTATCAGCTATAGTTAGGTTGATACATCTCTGAAAGCCATTAATTAATTGAATAGAATTAACCAATTAAGAAGAAAGACTGTTTAAAGATTAAATGTGTACATCTTAATTTTGGTAACTAGTATGCCATTTGCTGGCATCTAATAGAGTTGTCTTATTTGTTTTAGTTTTGGTAGTTTCTCTGCCACATTTTTTTTAAAAAAGATTTATTTATTTATTTATTTATTTATTTTATGTATATGAGTACACTGTAGCTGTCTTCAGACACACTAGAAGAGGGCATAGGATCCCATTACAGATGGTTGGTAGCCACCATGTGGTTGCTGGAAATTAAACTCAAGACCTCTGGAAGAGCAGTCAGTGCTCTTAACCACTGAGCCATTTCTCTAGCCCTCTCTGATGCCACATAAGGTCACATTGTTCTGTACTTAAAACGAACCACATGATGTCAGCCCATGCTATCAAACAAGACTGTAAACAGTTTTTCCAGCTAGTATACCGAATTTCTGAGTAAAGTCCAATTATAAGCAAGGTATTCCCCACATTTTGGTCTTTAACCTCCTAGGGTACTGAGAGTCTTAAACCTCCTCCATGTTTATATTTGAAACTTCATCTCAATTTTGTATTCAACACCTTAAAATAATGTGGTTAAAATACTGAATGGTCAGGTTAAGGACTTTATACACCACATCTGGCCCTGCTTAAATTTGTTAATGATATTACCACCCCACTCCTGTACTCTACTTTTTGTGATAGTGACCAAGGACTTGTTTGAGAAGTTAATAATTCATGAAGTATGTATATGGTTGCTAGTGATTATTTGGTGCAAGGAAAAAGAAAGGGAGACACCATTTTATGTTCTGTAGCTGAGCAGTGGCAGACACCATCTTGGTATTTCCTTAGCACTAATAATGTAGTCAGTTTCACAGTCATGATGAAGATGAAGATTTTTGTTAAACTCTATGAAGAATAGTACTATTTTTTTAAAAAAAGATTTATTTAGTTTACTTATATCAGTATACTGTAGGTGTCTTCAGACACTCAAGAAGAGGGTATCAGGTCCCGTTACAGATAGTTGTGAGCCACATGTGGTTGCTGGGAATTGAACTCAGGTCCTCTAGAATAACAGTTAGTGCTCTTAATCACTGAGCCATCTTTCTAGCCCCAAAAGAACTTTTTGGTTTTTTCGAGACAGGGTTTCTCTGTGTAGCCTTGGCTGTCCTGGAACTCACTCTGTAGACCAGGCTAGCCTCGAACTCTCGAACTCAGAAATCTGCCTGCCTCTGCCTCCCAAAGAACTTTTTAAAGTTATAGCTAAACTATTTTTGTTTGACATAGAAAGAAATAAAAACTCCCTTTTTATTTACTATCACCTTAA